TGTAAGATGATAGATTTCTTTTATCCCTCAACATTTGAGATCTTCTATGGTATTTCCCATAATGCCTAAGGTCTCAAAAGACCCTACCTTAATGTAAAATTGCCGTAATTGAGTTCGCGTCAAAGAGTGGAGTCATCTCTGTTGCAAACATTTAAAAATAATACGGCATTAGCGCGCCGGAATACGACGCATCAGTGCTAGATTAGACCGGACCAGACCAGACCGGGGATACATTGTGTCCGGACCGCGATCTTCAACTGGATTCCATTTAGCACGTGATTTTTATTTACCGGTCCAGTTAACTCCGGTACGAATCCACATTTGATTGTTCAATGGCTGGTCCGAATTGCAGTTTGTTGTACTCCTATACATCCATCACTACACTACTACATCGATCACTACACTACTACATCGATCACTAAAATAAGTGATAAGGATCTGCGGTTACGTGTTCACCGCATCCATCCGTCGCTATCGGTGCATGTGAGTGTTTTTGGTTGTACCTCAAAAGTTTCCCTCTTTTTTTGAAATTCCTTAGATATGTGGACGAGCTCACGACCGACCTGGTACAAACTTGCCTATTTCTGCCGTGAAGCAGTAATGCGTTTCGGGTTGAAGGGTGAAGCAGCTGTTGTAACTATACTGAGACCTTAGAACTCATATTTCAAGGTGGGTGGCGGCCCTAACGTTGCTGATGTCAATGAACTCTGGTAACCATTTAACACCAAGTGGGCCGTGAGTTTGTCCACACCTCTAAGCAAAATCAAAAATGCTACAGTTATTTAATTGCAAAAGGTACTTTTTGATTAATTCTGGCTGGTTTTAATGGACCATTACGAATAATTCTGGTTAAAACAATAATTGTTCTTGTACATATAACTTTATCAATCTTAATATGATTAAGGTAATCTAATTAATTTTATAAGTTTCTGATTTTTAGTGAAAACTATTATTACAAATTGATTTTTGAATTATTATTTTTTAAATTAATATTTTCTAAGAACATTACTTAATATTAAAAATATATGCATAAGGGCTATTGTAAAATTTTTTAAAATGTAAGACTCAAAAAAATTTGGCCAAGGAAATATTTTTCAATTAATAGAAATTGAGTTTGCAAATTTGCAAACTTTAAATCACATACAAACTATTTGCTACATGAATTCATTGGAATTATGAAATAAGTGGTGAATTGTTTTTTGTAGTATAACATACAGATAGAGTAGGGTGGGTCTTATTCACCTATAAGTTCCAGGTGAAGCCGATCCATTTCTTCTTGAAAATTTTATTATATGGAAAATAAATAAATACGTAATTATATATTTTTAAAATTTGCTACATTTACGTCTTTACCATTGCGCACATGATTTTCGTACAGACATTTTGTAAATGTTTCTTATATTATGCGAATCATTTATATATATCTCTTCTATCTCTCTTCTACGAGTATATATCCTATGTATATCTCTTGATTTTTACATCGATCTCATCGATGCGAGGCTTGAGCCTTTTAGTCTTCTGTTAGCAGTTTGCTCGCATGTAACTTAGCTATGAGTGATAATTTCTTATTCCCCTAATGGATTAGGTAGCGTTGCTGAATCTTGTATAAACGAAAACAAAAATTAATTACAAATGTACTAACACCATGGACTTCCTGTTTTTGACGATTAGTCTGGATAATTTTAAACGGCTGTTTGCTTTCTGATTAAATCCATAGTTATTTCGGACGTCCATTTGTTTGTTCAGTTCTTAACCGTATCAACAGACCTTCAGTTCTGCAAAATATCTACGATCAATATGTCGGATTCTATTTTTGGATTGCTAAAATCGAAGGCAACATTTATTTCATACTGAATAAATTTTGAATATCTCAAGTGCTTTAACGTTTTTATAATACAGACACGCGTGCTTTAGTTTTTACTCTTTATTGTTAGTCATGAAATTTTTCAACAGATTAANTTAACCGTATCAACAGACCTTCAGTTCTGCAAAATATCTACGATCAATATGTCGGATTCTATTTTTGGATTGCTAAAATCGAAGGCAACATTTATTTCATACTGAATAAATTTTGAATATCTCAAGTGCTTTAACGTTTTTATAATACAGACACGCGTGCTTTAGTTTTTACTCTTTATTGTTAGTCATGAAATTTTTCGATAGATTAATCACGGTCCTTGTTATTTACACCGTTATTTTACTCGGAATGGTCAAGTGTTGTTGACATATTTCTGTAAGAATTACGTGGAGATGATTGGCCTAGAGCCAAGAATCGTGGAATTTACATGAAAACGGATCTTTTGTCACTGCTGGATTCATTAAATAAATTAAAGTCATTAAGTACGTGTTTTTCGTCGGTTTTCACGTTGAATAGGTATCTATAGTAAATCGTGTTACGTAATACTCGAACGTTCACGGTATCCATAGTTTCCGCGTGTTTCATTGCAGTAAAGTGGAAAGAACTTATTGATGTAGAAAATAAACAACTCTTATTATTGACTACAGTTTGCACCTTATATTGAAGAAACGTAGTACATAGTACTCCATTATTATATACTAGTGTATTTTTAACACGCTTAAACCACTGAGTTTCGCGCCGGATCTTCTCAGTAGGTCGAGATAGTGATCTGGTGGTAGAATCGGAGAAAATTACTGCTCTTGGTAGGGCCAGTGTTACCAAACTCTTTCAGGCTATGCTCATGAGCTCATCTACTAGTCCGTGAGTAATTGGAATGGCACCTTAAGCTTCCAGTAATTTAGTTACCGTAGAGAAAAAAATGCTTGTAAAAAGGTTTTTTGTATGTTTTTTGGATGTAACGAAATTTCTTAATTTTCATAGACTTGAAGACGTCTGATATGAACCATATCATGAAAATTTTGCACACGTATCAAGGACTGTTGATAAAACAATAATTTTATAACTTCGCTCTAATATCCTGACCAGTATCAATTAGCCCCCCTGAGTTTCTCGCCGGGTCTTCTCAGTGGGTCGCGGTTCCGATCCGGTGGTAGATTCTGCGAAGCACGGCTCTTGCTGCGGTTCGTGTTAGCAACGTCGTCAGGTTTGAGCCCCGTGAGCTCACCTACTAGTTAAGGTTACGTTGAAATAGCCTCTCAAGGCTCTCAGCTTAGGTAGGAAAAAAAATATATCAGTATCAACAGGATAAAAACAAGAAAGATGAAGTTAATTCTTAGTTCGAACTTAGTTGCTGTTTAAGCGTATTTTTTTAACTTTGTAACTACGTGTATTTATAATAATTTGTTCTAGTTTTTTTTTTTAAATACATAACCATTTACATGCCATTGATAAGCTTGGTCGTCGCTTGGTATTAATTGGTACGCGGCTTTTTGTATCCGTCAATGGTATAACGCCGATAAGGTGAAGGTCAATGTATATTAAACACAATTTATTTATTTTTTATTAAATATTATAGTATCCTTAAGCTACATTTGTTTTTGTTATAGTTAAAAAAGTAAACTCACAGTACGAGTAGTAATTGTAAATATTAAATTATCAAAAAATGGTGGAAGGTTTTATAATACGTACGGAACTTTTAACTGATTGAAACGGGGTGAAACGGCTCGACGAAGCTACTACGTCTTGAGAAGTTCCTATATTTAGAATCGTCGGTTTACGGTAGGTATTCATTTGACGTAAACACGACAAGGAATAAACGAGGAACTAAACCTTTAGGCACATTTTCAAACAAGCGTTTCACGAATAACCGCCTTATTGTAACGTAGGTAAGAATGAGTAATGTGAAATTAAAGCCTGATCATGAAGTAGGTCATAAAAAAAAAAGATACAATATCCCTATTTTAATGCATTCGTAATTTGTGATTTAGTTTTTATGTTGAACACATTCTTTTGTTTTTATATTCACAATATATTCAGCCAAACTTTTAAATCTATATATTAATACGTGAAGCCAAAACTTTGTATCCCTTTTTACGAAAATTGCGCGGACGGAGGAGTATGAAATTTTCCACAATTATAGAGAATATAGAGAAGAAGTGCACAATGTTAATATTTTTTGAAAATAATGCATAAAAGATACCTTAAATCAATAAAGAATACATTACACACACTACATGTACTTGACGCACACACGCATGCATACTATTTATTGTCAAACTTTTGTTCTTGACGTCTGTCGTCAAATTGAGAATAGATTAAATATTGTTTGTCTTTGTTAATATTTTTATAGTGTAGTTTTGGCGAAATTTGTGATTATCGAAGTATAAAATACAATCATAATAGTATACAAACTTACAATTCCAAATAATTATAGTCGAATTTCGACTACTGCGGGATTTCTAGTTGAAATAAATACGTAATGCGAAACTACATAACTATTTATAACTACATAAAAAACTACATAGTCATATGATTTAGAATAAAAATTTCATGTAACAAGTTAATCCGCAAGCACAGTATGTATTACATCAAACTGTCTGATTATTACTCAAAGACAATAAGACCTATTGTGGATCGTTACTTATTATGGTGATATTTGCATTATTTCACTCGTGTTCTAAATATTAGCCTTAGCACTTACTTTGGTTTACATTGATAATGCGTAACATTATTTGTCTTTTTGTGCATTGTTTTACCTTTCAAACATTACAAAGCAATCTCAAGGTAAATCAAAACAGAGACAGAAGAAATTAACCAAAAACTACTGGAGTTTGTTTTGTACTTTAAAAAAAGTTATTCCCCCTTTCAAATTAATGATAATTTTCGTTACAACGACTTTCGAACGATAAACTGCTTCAAATCAGAACTAGTTCGTTAATCTGTGTATTTGTGATAAAAAAAAATTGTCGTATCAATCAGTCGATGCAGGTTGCCGATGACTTCGTTAGCTTATTGCTTGGAATTGTACAAAGGAACATACACAAGCATTATCTTATCTGTTAAGTAATGTAGCCAAAGTAATCCATGGAGCACAAAGAACGGGCGAAGCATTTGTTGATAGTATTAACGATGTTGTTGTCAGGTGCACACCGTACGACTCTACCTGGAGTGCTCGATTCAGATATTCCATACTCTTCGGGTACTTCGAGCTCCAGACGATTGAAGGAGGTAAGGTCCGGATAAAGGAACTGCACATTATTTTAGATTATTATTATTAGTTCAGTGTGTTTGTTTATCTAAAATAAAATATTTAATTGGAGATCTGATTAAAGATTGTTTATATAGTTGAGATTATTTTACTATATTATTGATATTTACTTGATATGATTGAAAACATTGATGTGTAATTATTCTTTGTTTTTTTTTTTTTTACATTGAATAAATTATTAGGTAGCATATAATTGTTGTGTTTTTTGTGAACGAATTGTCAAGAAGCAATTTTCAATGAATTATAATTTATTTTAGATAACGATCGAACGAAAATATCTTTTCGCGTTTATTTATTGCATATATGTACACGTATGTATTTATGCGTATTGTAAATAGAGGGTTATTTTCGTTAGATAATAAACATTTGCGAATGTTTATTTGAATTTCTTTAGTACGCATCTGTTTATCGTTTTGTTGAAGTTGTAAAATTAATCTAACTCTAACGATTCATTTAAATAATATATTATTCACAACTTGACCATGTTTGTTGATATTGCCAGCTTCCCGTAAATTAGTATATTTGGCAATTCTGAACTATCTTAAATTTTCCTGCAGACAATGATATTCTGGTCGACTTTAGCGGGTAATGATTTTGTTTTTAATATATGCGAATTGGGCTTGTAGCAGATCGTCGATGCCATCCTAGTTTAAGGCTAGTTACTGCTTTGGAATCCAATGCGTGTATATCGTTAAAATTTAGAAGATTCTAGAATTTAACAGATCCTTTGCCAGCGAAATGTATAAAAAAGAATAACACTCTCTATAATTTATTTTTACTAATTTAGCACGCACTAGCTTCACAAGTAAGCACTTTCTATATATCTAACATATCGCAGTTCGCATGTGGTCATTTAAATATCTAGATTTAGCCGTAAATCCGCCATCTTTCTTTACACTCGTAATAAATTCAAACGATTTATAACAATCGCCGTGTTTAAATATCATAAATTCATTTGAGAAATATATTGATAAAATTAAGTGCAATGTTAATTTTAAGAGAAAATTCGCACTTGTCACAATGTACATACACAGTATCACACAGTTCTAAAATGTAACTTCAATTTTTTTTTCCAACTATTGTTGTTCTAATTGGCTAGAGGTACTAGGTGTCGTCCTTAGATGCTGGAATCCAGCCTACTGAGTTTCTCGCTGCATCTTCTCAGTGGGTCGCGTTTCCGATCCGGTGGTAGATTCTGCGAAGCACTGCTCTTGCTAGGGTCAGTGTTAGCAACTCTCCGGTTTGAGCCCCGTGAGCTCACCTACAAACGTTAGGGTGAAGCTGAAATAGCCTCTCAAGGCTATCAGCATAGGTAGGAACAAAAAAAAAAAGATGCTGGAATAATGTAGTGCCCCGCTGTTCGGGGTGTTAAGTTAGGTCTCCTTTGTGTTGATGTGTGCGTTGTCTGTTCACACACAGGCCGCACACAGCGTTTGCTGCGCAACATCGATTCGTTGTTCGCGGTTCGGCCGTGATCGTCTCGGCTCAGTCACTGGTGCGCAACGCCAAGGGAAGCAAGTGTCCAGCGCCTAGCGCTTCTTTTATTTTTGTATTAATTTTTTTTGTGCATCACTGTTTCAAAAAGAAAACCTGTTTCAAATCGTCCGTGCAGTCTCGTCGAGACCAAAGACCGTCGAAATTATTTTTAAATGCGTTACTGAGCTTTGCCGTCTGCCTAGCTCAGTTCCTGTGCGTTGAGTAATATTCTGTGTCAGTTGTAGTGGTTGTGCTTGTGATAGAATCAGACGATTTTATCGTGAACGTGTTCCAATTTGGGATTTCACCACGAGCGGGCTCAAAGAAATTTATAGTCAAGTGAGTTTTGAATTCACTTTGTTAATAAAATTTAAGGTATAGAGTGAGTGACCTGAAAAGAATATATTTGCAAATAAACCTTTTAGTAGGGCGTTTAATAAATGGAATCAGCTGTTTGTGTTTGTTCCAATTTCATTGAACTACTCTTACCATTACTATTATTTGGATATTGAAGACGAAAATCATAGACCAAGTCATCATAGTATGTGTATCATATAATTTTGTCATTGAAAGTTTTTGAAAGCTTTAATCGGGATACATAATATCGTGAATATTGAAAATGCGCTAATAACTTGGACCATGTTTTATTAGATCAATGAGAATCTTCAACTATGTAGGAAATGTAGTAAGTACCTGCATGAAAGTAAATATACTTACATGAAAACTACTGAATTCCCAAATATACCTATACCTAATATTAAAAATATTAGGTATATATTTGGGATAGGTATATATTAGGTATATATTTGGGATAGGCATATATTAGGTATATATTTGGGAATACAGTATAGCGGTAGCCAGCGGCTTGGCTCTGCCCCTGGCATTGCTGAAGTCCATGGGCGACGGTAACCACTCACCATCAGGTGGGCCGTATGCTCGTCTGCCTACAAGGGCAATAAAAAGATTACCCAGAAGTTTTAATTAGTGTAATTACTGCTACTCTAGTCTATATCTACTAAAACAAGGTGGGTTAAAGATTCAAGATTTAGCAAAAAAAAGCAAGGTCATGACTTTGACCTTAGTGGTTTCATATTTACCTATATACACACTAAATATATTATGACCATAATATATTCATTGTCAGCGAGCCGCTAAAGATATATGTATAACAAACATATGAGTATGACAAAAAATACCCAACCGGTTTTCCAAATTATATTCGGTACATATTTAGTATCTATCATATATCACGGCCTACCGGATTGCAAGCAGCTGATACCGGAGCTCATAACCGCATCGCTGTCTCAGTGGCATTGGTAAAGCGGGTGCCCTATTCTTCAAACTGGAAAACATGAAGGTTTCGCGGCAGAAATAAGAGTGCATGCCAGTGCGTTGCCATTACTGTCTTATGAACTTAAGCTAGGTTCTAGGGGCTAGGAAGTTTAGGGAATAGATTACAATAATAGAAGACTGCCACTCATTGGAGGGGTTGTCTCAAATCCTACGTTTCCTTATTACTGTCTTTAAATTAAGTTTGTCTCGGAATCCAAGATAAATTAGCGTTCCCTCGGGTTGTCTGATCTTCGTTGTCCAGACTTTTCGTATGGTCGCTATGAATTACAGTGCTATGGACCTGAGTGGGGTTAGATATTGAATCTTAATTTAGTTATTTTGGGGTTTTATACTTTCGGACATCGTTCTATTTGATTAAAATATTTTGTTACATATTATTATTATTATATTACGTTATTTTTCGATCGTAATGCCTTCCGGTATGAAAGGTGGGGCAACCATTATACAATGAAATTGAGACATTGGTTTCAAAGTAGCTATATTTATAGGTATCTGTGAGTCGTGAACTGGATCATGTAACTTAATAAGTAGCTAAGTGACTAAAATTATCTTGACCTCTGACACGAGCAACCTACTCTTCCTTGCCGTCTACTGGTGCACAAAAGTCTTGGACTCGGAGAGCTGTGAGATGTTTTATAACTATCAAGTCAGCGGTATCTTGGCCGTCCAATCGAATGTTTTCCGTTCGAACGAAATAATTTATTCTTTTCAACGCATTGTCTCCTTCAATTCTTTCCAAGTGAAGATCCAGCGTTATCAAGATGGCTTTATCACCCCGCTTACATTCAGGTCAGATAAAATTTCCTCAATCTCTCTATTATTCCAATGTCAAGCAATAAAATAATAAAAAAATCAACTCATACACTTTTTTGTATGTACATATTTGTTTTTCTAATTATGCGCGTAGTAGCTTCAATAGTCATATTAACAATCGTCGTCGTTGGTCGGATTACATCAAACGCAACTGTTGCTATGTGCAATGAAACAGGTTCAGATTTATATGAATATTCAATTGATCCACTCTTTGTGTTTAGTCTGCTTACGCGCTTAGTCAGTTGGGAACTGCGTTAACAAAACCTGTTGTTGAACGAAGACAAAACATTGAAAGTATAAGGTCGTGAATCAGTTGTAGAGAATACCGCTGCGTCTTTAGTTGCATACACAGTGAAAGTGCCTCGGGCTACGTCAATACTGGCGTATCAAAATCGTGTGTCGCAAGCGTCCGTACGGCCGCGGTCGTAACGGCTCCGTGTGGATTGCCTCTAGAAAGCTCCTTGGAATATTCCAAAGCATGGCCCGCTGTAGAGTTCCGCCTTGCTCTCGTAACTAAGTCGTTAAAAAGGTTTGTGAACACACAAATGTTTAGATTAAAACCATTCAACCGTATTTGTGCATTAGTGTATACATTATTTAATATTTTGTGTTCTCAGATTGAGGTATTTTGATTAATTGAGGTGTGAATTGAGTACCTGTGCTAAGTTAATTTTCATTAAAAGTAAAGAAGTACTTGTGTACAAAATCATTGACCGTGCCCCCACTTAATATGTAATAATTACTGGCAACAGCAGACAATTGGCGTCCAATACAGAACCGAGCGCGTGTTGGTGCATGTGACCAGTCGACATGATGCATTAATGCATCGAGTTATTTTTCTTGTGTTTGTATTAGGTTTTTGAATGATCATGATAACTGCTTCACGATCAAACAACGAACATTACTGCAAATAAAATTTTACTCTTTGTGTATTTTGCTGGTGAGAGGACATAGCGGTTTTGTACCATAATCCTGGTACTTTCCGCGGCAGAGCAATTCGTTCCGGCTAGAAGCGTAGTACTGTTATTTAATTTTAATTCATTGAAGATTTCTGCTTCGAAGATTTTATATTTCGGTATTCGCGTCGTGGTGCCACATTATAACAATTTGGGTAGCCGATTCCTTCCAAAATGTCACTATATAGGTAGCTGTAATGTTTTCAGTTCAAAAAATTTTTACTATATCAAGTTTCATAACAGTGAGGCGCATATTATATTTTACCTTTGTGTAATATTGTTTGCTTGTTAATTGTTTCGTATTATTATGCCACTGTCAGGTCAAGCTCAAGGTAGCCTAAAGCTCACATATTCGTAATCTT